TGGTGTTTGGTTTGATAGTAATTTAAATTTGGAGCAGCACACCACAAAGCTTGTTCAATCATGTTTTTATCAACTTAGAAATATAGCAAAATTTCGATCTATGTTAACTTTTAAGGACACCGAGACCATTTTACACACCTTCATCTCATCACGCCTGGATTATTGCAACAGCCTTTTCACCTGTTTAACCCAAAAATCTATTGATCGACTCCAGACTGTCCAGAACTCAGTTGCCAGGCTTTTAACCAGAACAAAGAAATATGACCACATTACTCCTATTTTAGCTTCATTACACTGGCTCCCAGTATGTTTTAGAATTGACTTTAAAATTCTATTGATTACTTTTAAAGCTCTTCATGGCCTCTCGCCTTGTTATATTTCTGACCTTTTAGTCCCGTACGCACCAGCACGTACCTTGAGATCCTCGGGCAGAGGTCTGTTGTCTGTTCCAGAGTCTCGACTGAAAACTAAAGGGGACAGAGCGTTTGCTGTCAGGGCCCCGAGGCTCTGGAACAGCCTGCCCGAGGAAATCAGGTCGGCTGAGTCAGTGAACTCTTTTAAGTCCCTTCTTACAACATACTTTTATAGGAGAGCCTTTCCCGATCTTATTTGACTTTATTTTATCCGTTTTTTTTAATTGTATTTTACTAATTTTATATTTATCTATATTTTAGTCTTTTCAATGTTTTCATGCTTTTATCTTGTATTGTTTTTGTATTATTGTTTTTGGGGTATTATTGTCTTTACACTTGTTAAAGCAATTTGTAACTTGTTTTTGAAAAGTGCTCTACAAATAAAGATTATTATTATTATTATATAATAAAATATATATATATATATATATATATATATATATATATATATATGTATGTATGTATGTATGTGTGTGTGTGTGTGTGTGTGTGTAAGAGACATCCTCTCTCCCAGAAGAAAGCTAAATTAATATGTAGCCAAGAGGAAGCTATTTAGGAGAATATGACCATGTGGTGAACCTATGAACTTAAGTCACTATTACTTTGTGTTGTTGGCCAGACAAATAGTAGTAAGACTTCTCTCTGTGTACACCTGTCCTATACAAGTACAATTTTGGCTGTAGTATTTGTGTCCCCTTCAAAATTTTCTCTTGTGAAATGTTATGTTTATTGCCCCCCCACCCTACTGTTAGATGAGATTGATGCCCATGTTTAAGGGTGAGAGGTGTAGCCTACAAACACGCAGGAGACACGGAAACGGAGATCCGTGTGGGTCACGAGACCCGTGTGGGTCACGAGACCCTCAGAAAGAGGAGACACCGCTGGTAGTGCCGCCAGCTGGTCCAGGAGCTTCATCTTAATGATGGTCGGTTTAAGGCTTATCTTAGGATGAGTCGGGGACAGTTTGTTGCAGCCTCAGGACAATCCAAGCAACTAAACTTGCGTCACCACAACTGAGGGCCCGTCTCTCCATTCATTTGAATGGACAGTGGAAAAAAAACGCGAATGAAGTTGGGCGCTTTCTGCCCAGAGTTGAATTTTTCCATATGCGCACAGAGAGCTACTTCGAAAATGCAAGGTGCAGCAGGCGCCTAAAACGTGAGGCGCCCAGGACGCATAAACAGTCTTAAGTTATGTCAAACAGCAATATTAGCCTGTCATGACTCAATTGTTGATCAAAATCATGATCCCACAGGCATCCAGGAATTAAGCGAAACTAAGCAAGTAAGCTAAGGGGGATAGGGAGGCGTATCTTCCCAAGCTTTGTCCGACAGGGGGGCCCATAGTGTCGGACTTTGAGAACCCCTGCTGTAACTCAAAAAGTTGATGTGGGGTTTAACGAGCAGTTAACTGTTTAGTATTCTCCGCCTTGTGTTTGCCCTTTTACATGTAGTTAATTGAATTATCATTGCCTGCACAAGAGACAACGTTTCCCTGTATTGATAAAAACATGCCTGAAGCTTTCTGGGCAGCTCAGATAATGAACATATTTAGTTAAGGGTCATATGACACGTGATTAGCAATACTGTACTAAACATATATGTTTAAATTGATTTTCCAGTCCAGCAGAAAGGGAGTAGTGTATGATGCTAATAATGTTAAACACTGCAGAAGAGGGAAATCCCCTGCTGCATCACCCATCCATTAAATTCTGATTTCATACTTGTACAACAAACAGGATTCAGAAAGGACAAACAAAATGGAGGAAGCAAAGCAAACAAGCGCAGAGCTTTAACTACTTCTCTCGGACTCTGTGGATCTGTGTTTTACTACATGGTGGTCTCAGGTTTAGATAAGATAATCACAGGTTTTTATCAGAGTCAGGTACACATGTTCTAACCTGTTCACACCTCTACAACATGTCAGATGAAAGGTTATTCTTAAATTTAAGAAGTCAGTCGGAATTAAATATTGCAAATGTCCTGCTGCATTACTACGCCTTCATTCGCTATATTAAATTCCTGCTAATTCACATCCTGCTGCTGTATATTATATGCAAATTACATGCAGGAAACATTGTGGAAAACTGCAATGATGAATACATAAATGGCTCCTCGCCATAAGTTTATTTAGTCAGACAACATTTAGATCCAAAGCTGATCCTCCTCAGGCAACAGTGTTTAAATGTACACCCATATTCCCATATATGATAGATAGATATTTAGATATTTGACGGCAGCAGGCCAACTGATCTGCCACTTAACATCATATTGCGCAAAACCCAACACAACGGTAGATCTACGATATTGGCCTAACATCGGTTCACATACAGGATTACTGCTGGAGTAAGAGATGCACACACATTTTTAAACATTTTGACCTGACAAAAGGTCAAAACAGTGGCCCTTCGCACAACAACATTGCTCAAACTTAGATTCAAGCGCTTAACTTTGCAAAATAGCAAATTATTTCCTCTATCAATCAACCGTTGGATCTATAAAACACCAGAAAACAATGAAAAATGCCAATGACGACGTCCCAGGTGCCATTCGAATGTCTTATTTCTTCCAACAAACAGTCCAAAACCCAAAAAGATATAGTTTACAATACTGTTCTGACACAGAGAAGCAGCAAATTCTAAACTATCATATAGGTTACTGGGAAGCATACAAGCCAAAACATGACCTTTGAGCCCCCAATACAAATCTTCATGGAGAATATTACTATTTTAGGTAGTTGCCTTTGTTTAGGCCAGGCAGACAGAACACAGCGTGTAGCCGCACACTAGATTAAAACTCACAAAACTGTTGCAATCGTAAACAATAATACATAAAAAAGCTTTTTTCTACTATAACTATATAATTATTCTTTTAAAAAGGGGGTGCATGACAACGCTGCATATTATTCTCTTGCACGTTGTAGGTGTGGTCTAATTCACAAGTCCTGCTATTCTTATCTGTTATAACACATGTGGGCAATGGGGAGGGGGCGGTTAACTGGGTTAAGATTAATCCAACAGTGAAAGCAGAAATATTTGGGTTGATCACAGCAGAGAACTTTGAATTTCACTGTGAAATAGTTTATGACAGAACGCTTTGGAGAAACATAAAATTAATTTACTTATTTTGGGGTGAACGTCACAAAATGTGTAGTAATTAAACTCTTGCTTGCTGGTGTTCCCATCAGGTAAGTGTATATTGATCAAATCACACTTTATTTGTACAGCAGCTGACTGACGAGCCGATTACCAGACTACAAATGTAAACGATGAGACACATAGACAGACGTTGGGGTATTTATAGTATTAAGACAAAATATGATAGCTGGGATTTCAGTGCTAAATGATCAGCTATATAAATGCGAGACAAAAGTATGGAGCAAATATTAACAGGTCAGGTGTTGGTGCTCTAAAGAGAGAAAATACAGTATAGTTTCTGTTAACCCAGATTATCTAAACACTATGGAGCCATCGTATTTGGTAACAGCTGCTATAAAAGTATAGTAAAGTATGATAAAAACGTTTGCAGTAGCTGTAAACAGTTGAATTTCCTAATCGGGTCACATAATCTAATCAATAACAAATTTAATTTAAATTTAATACAAATCTGAAACACTGTGCAGATTCAAATGTTTTGAAAACACTTCATGGACTTTTCCCCCCCTAAGTTTATTGTATTGAGCAGCTGATGACAGCGTTCAGCAAGTGGGGTTTAGATCATTTGCAGGTGAAAACATGTTTAGCCATCTACTAAAACTGGACTGAAATTTGTTGAAAGGTTTATCTTCCTAAAAACAGTGGGCTTCTGATCCCTTAAAATGAAGCAGTCTGCTTGCTTGGTGAATTCCAAAATAATCTTACCTGGAACCAGTCCTCAAATATTAGATTAGTTGGAAATCAGTGAGTCATTAATTAGATAACATTGAACTTTAAGTCTTTTGTAATGAGCCTTTATGGGCATGTATGGACGTCTTTCACTGTAATTAAAATGTGATATTTAAGAGAACAGACTGAGCTTGTCTTTCAGTTGGGTGTAAAGTATCATAATGAATGAGAAATGTCAATATCAACTAATTCTGGTCTTACAAAATTGACAAGAAGCAGAACCAACATTCACAAATACGGACGAAAAACGTGACAAAGCAGATGAACATCAGTGTAATCTATTATTATCTGTAGGCTATTATCCCTCTTCCACAGGTGACACTGTGCAAAGCAGGTAAACAGACGTCGTGTGTAGCTACACTTAGTATATAAACTGAAATCCAGATATTTAAAGCGTATAGTCTCTAGCTTTCTGCACAACATGAGAATTTTGCTTTCATCGATCCTCGATAAGGCAAAATGAGCGGATTGAAGATTTAGTTCTGAGCTCCGTTTTTAAACCAACTCATTGGCTGCTGATTCATCTTAAAAGTAACAAATATAAATCGTCAAAAACTGAATTAGCATAACAATTATTGTGCCACTACATTTTAAAGTAAATGCCATTTTGTTAATTGACACTCTTCTTAACGTTTAATTAACGAGGTCTCACCTGCGCACCAGCGCTCCGTTAGCCTCAGATTAAAAACGTGAATCCGCCTTACCTCTAAAGTAAATAAACCGCTCGGGGAGCCGCCTGCTGTCGCTTTAAAGCCCCCTGAGGAGAGATTCCTCGGACATGGACCCACACCGGGACCAGGACCGGCCGGTAGTTGGAGGATGCAGCGGGTAGTCCGGGTGAACTTCCTGTGGAGGAGACGGAGCTCGTTATGAAGCGGCTGTTTGCTGTTGTGCTGTTTAGCGGAGTGTTGCGTTCACCGCCCTCGCAGTTTATTTCTACGGCCACCACTCCCACCCTGCTAAGGAGATTTCCCTCCACCTGGTCCCGCGTCACAAACCCAACACCAGCTGGAGCTCCAGGTCTCCCCTCCCCTCCTCTCCCCTCTGAACTGAACCGAACCAACCCCTCTTCGGCTGGAGGGATGTATGGAAGGCCATTACTGCCAGGAAAATAAAAATAGATACATAGGTCTGTGGAAAGTAAAAAAATAAATAAACATAGCCTACTCATTCCACTTTAAAACTTTATACTGAGTCAAAATATTTTAAGTGATTTTTTTTTAACTTACTCGAAAGTAATTATGACTCTTTTAATCAAAATTATTGATAGTAAGTACATTTTACATCAAGTCAACCTTGTGAGATACCATCGCAAGATATTGTCTTTTTATGCTGATATAATAAGAAAGTAGGAAATATCAAGTCAAAATTATTTGAAACTACCCCGAAATTTAGACTTTGTAGGTCAATGAGATGCTACATTACTTTTTAAGTCAGAATTATGACATTATGACATTTTGAAAATATAAGGCTGTTTCATAATTTTGATTTAGTATCTCATAATTTATACTTAAAAGAAATATAACATATAATATACTATCGAACAATATAAAAGAATATTAATAATAAAGTTATAGACATATATATAACACACAAAATAATTGTGACTTAGCATGTCATAATTTTGAATAAAAATATTAAAAGTTTGAATCGGTATCTCATCATTTTGATTTATTATAGTGCCTTGCTGGTATGTTTCTAATTACAAATTATTGTTTCCTTTTTTTCCTGTAAAAGGGAATACCGCACTGCTCTGCAGCCTGATAAAAATAAAATTAAAAAGAGGAGTATTTTTTTTTTGAGAGATTTTGTCTCCATTTATCTCTTTTGTTAGTCGACCAAGAAACCCAGTCCATTTCTAAGATAGATAAAAACAACTATAAGTGTTTACAGCATTTAACAACTACAGTTCCCAGAAGGCTTTGACACGGTCATGTCCATCCATCCGTCCATCCATCCATCCGTCCATCCATCCATTGTCAACCGCTTATCCTGTGTACAGGGTCATGAAGACACGGTCATGTGTGTTTTTTTAATGCTACTAAATAAATTGTTCTTTAACTTTAGCATATAGAAGTCCAAAGCATATTTTGAGTAAAAAATACAATTGAGTTATAATTTAATTGGTTAATAAAACCAAACTCATTATTGTGAATTGTTATTTCATTTTTGTATTGTCTGGGTAACAAAAATTGTATTGGAATTCATTTTTAATTCTTTAAAGCTATTGAGAAAGTAATCTGAGAATTTGCCCATCTGTCATAGTATTGTGGTTCAAATACACAACCTGTTCCAGCTTCTCCCCTCTGGTAGGCGCTACAGAGGCGCTACAGAGCACTGCCAAAACCAACAGACTTCCCACAAGCCCTCACTCTGATGAACAGCTGATTTCTGACTCACAGTGTCAGGAACAACTCCTGTGCAATAACCCAGTAACTCTGCCTCTAATCAGCCACCTGTTTACTGCTTTCCACTTATTATTTATTTATTCACCATTCTCTATTTTAGTGCTGTTCATACTATGTCATATTGTATATACTGTATACCGATACACCTACCTCAGGTCATAAGGTCATAGGTCTTATTTATTTTTTCCAGCATCCTTTGCACTATGCTCCATCACACTGTGTACATGTGTACATGTATGTGTACCTGTATATCATATCCACCTTCAACATGCACATAATGAGAATAGTTTACTCTTGCATCCTTTGCACTCTGATCACTGCACTATTTGTCAATATGTCTATATTGTTTTGTTCATAGTGTGTATGTTAGTGTTGTCTACTCTGTAGTTTGTGTCTGATTTTATTTTATTATTATTTTATCATTGTATAAGTAAGCACATCATGAGCAATGTACAACCCTGAGTCAAATTCCTCGTATGTGTAAACATACCTGGCAATAAAACTGATTCTGATTCTGATTAATTAGAAAATGTTTCAGACTCCAGCAAACTGGCCAACACATTCTCACTCCCAAGTCGTCACATATGGACGCTTGCTCAAGACCCTTTGACGTTGCTTTTTAAAGTCCTGGGTACCCTTTAGTTTTTTGATGTGTAGCGCTCCGCGGTCAAGTTAGCAATAATAAATATGCAAAGACTTTCAGAATAAAACTAGTCGTTAATGTCATGAAACATCGTAATTTGGTTTAGGAAAACATCATGGTTTAGGTTAAAATAACAATTTTACTTCTGGGATTTAACTTATATAAGTTAACTAACGTACATACGTAACCTACGTAACTTAAATAAAAAAACTAAATGTTGACTTTTTTTTTTTGACATGGGAAATGAACACCGGTCTCCTGGGTGAAAGTCTGGTTTTCAGCCCACTGTCCACCACAACAATCTCCTTACTCAGACGTTTGTCTTACATATCCCACACCCACCTTTAGCGTTCAGAAATGACAGGGCTTCCTCCACTGTGTTGAACTATGAAGCTAATGGGCTCCCCAATGTCCTTCAAACTGATGCCAATGGGTTTTGACCATGCGTCCATATGTGACGACTTGGGAGTGAGAACGTGTTGAATTGGTAAATTAATGCCATATACGAGTCCTTCTGATTGGTTTAGAAACTTTTAATGTTCCAGCAGCTCAGAAACATAAAAAACTAAAAAGTCATGGTGAACATCGTACACCATGTATTTGTTTCAGGATGAAGCTCTACATGCTGTGATGGTTTTGAGGAAAACCTGGGTCCTGCAGCAGCGCTGTCAGCCTCGTACGGCGTGTGAAAGAGCAGTCACCTCAGATCAGTATTAGCTTCGCCCCACAGAGACGAAAATAATCAGATTATTCTCAGGAGCAGCTTGTTTAGCACTGGGAAGCCTCAAGTGTATATGTTGCTCTGTTCGTTTACTGTCTCCTCGCTGATGTTGAACCAATGAGAACAGCATGACTGCTCTGCGGCCCGGAGCTACAACACATGACTCAAATTAGCTCGAATGCATCCTCCTATGAATGATTCATCAAACAGACCCAATCCTCGGATGCAGCCACGGAGGCCTAATGCAAGCTGATGTGAAGGAGTAGTGAGCAGCGGTGTGTGTCTACCAGCTGAAACATGAACATATCTGTTCTGGAGGAGATAAATGTTTTTAAAAAGCTGTGTTACATCAGTTACCATAAGGCCACAGATGGGCTGACAGACTTTGGCCAACATGATTGTTTCCACTCACACAGAAAAAAGCAGATTAACAGACAGATGCAGATAAAAATCCTGAAATACATGGGGTGGACAAAATAATAGAAACACCTAGAGCATGACTCAGGTAACTTGCAGGCTTTTGCCAGCACATCCTCACCAGAAAAATAACCGTATAGGTTGATTATCATACAGTTTATTATGATCCATTCTGCCTGTAGTGGCAGAAGAAGTCACGTGACGTACTATAAAGTGCAACAAAGTCGATGCAAGAAGTTGGTAGGGTGGATGGATGTGTCAGGATTTTCATGCAGGATGTACTTCCTGCGGCAGCTGAAGTAGGTCAGCCTGCCAAAGACAACAATTGTGCACTTCTACACCGCCATCATTGAGTCCATCCTCACCTCCTCCATCACCATCTGGTACGCTGCTGCCCCTGCCAGGGACAGGGGCAGGCTGCAGCCCTGCAGAGAAGGTGATTGGCTGCAATCTTCCTTCTCTTCAGGAACTGTACGCCTCCAGGTCTCTGAGGCGAGCAGGAACGATTGCAGCTGACTCCTCCCACCCCGGACACAACCTGTTTCAGACTCTCCCCTCTGGCAGGAGGCTGCGGTCCATCAGGACCAAAACCTCTCGCCACAAAAACAGCTTCTACCCGTCTGCAGCTAGACTCATCAACAAGGCCCAGGTCCCCCACTGACACTGCCCCTTTGCAAACGATACAAATGTCTCTGCACATGTAAATACTGTTTCATCTCGTGTCGGGCACAGACCTGGCACGTCGCACATATTTGTTGTTGATTGTTGATCTTTGTTGTTGTATATTTTTATGTCGTCAGTTTGTATATTTATATGTGCACAATATTCTCTTCCGTTACTTCTGCACGGCACAGACCCAGAATAATGTAAATGTATATATCTGCAACGTTCTATTCCATATTTATATTTTCTATATATATATTTCTATAAATATTTATTATGTCGACTGTATGTTTGTCTACCTGTAGCACCTTATCACCACAGCTAATTCCTCGTATGTGTAAAACACTACTTGGCAATAAAGCTCCTTCTGCGTTCTGATTCTGACTCTGAGACCGAGGTTTGAGTCCTACGTGGAAATAAAGTCAAAGTTGAAACAAGTTAAATATTTTGTAGATGACTTCACGTCACATGACTTCCGTGATGCACTTATTTGAACCCAAACCAAGATCTTTTGCTAAACCTAATCAAGTGGTTCTGTTGCCTGAACTTAACCAAACTACAACTTTCACAAAATGTCCACGCACTAAAAGAGGACCCAAATGGTGTACTAACAACGGTCAATAAGCTGAGGGTGTTGTGCTGGACCATCAACCTACTTTGAAACTTGTGAAAATGGAGGCAGAGGAAGCTGCAGCACTTGTAAATGCACACACAAGCAAGTAAAAGTAAAAGTATGTTAATTTCATAAATTTTTTAGCAGAGAAGCTTTTTCCCCCAGGATGAGACTCCCCAATCCATCCCGAGCACTGCGCCATGTAGTTTATTTCTATGACTTGTAATGTATCCAAGCATCTACTGTACAGTATGTAACTTTTGTATATACCGTTTGCTTAAAGGAAAGTACAACTTCTTCACGTTATACAACCTTGTGTTGTAAAATGATAAATAAATCTACCTTGTACCTTGTACCTTGTGCTGTTATCATATTCTTGCCTCTGCTATCTTTTATAAGGTATTGACCATCTTATCTGGTCTGTAAAGTGTCCTGAGTTGACTTAAAAGGTGAATATAAACAAAATGTATTAAGTCACATTCAGACCAGGAAAGTTTGCTCCTTTACACGCTTTGGTCCGGACCAAATACAATGTAAATTTTTTCTTGCAGTTCGATTTCACACTGCACTTTTTGCAAGTGAACCAGAATTTGTAAACCATGTGTGCGTTCATTGGACAGATATTCTGCAGCGGGTAAAAGCAGGAAGCTTTCAATTCACAAACCGACCTATACGGTATACGCTCCAGCGGAGAGAGCACGCTCATGTGTGCGCCTACCATGGTATGCTGACAGCAACACGGCGCAGCCAGACCAACAGATCAGAAAATTATACCTGCAAACATTATTGCATACTGCTATGTGTAATGCTATCACTAAGGAGTCATGTGTAGC